TAGCTCCGATTGTTTAAAGTCCAGAAAAAAAAATTGTTCCACGAAGGAGAAAATTTAGTATGTGATCACCTGGAGTGAATGATTTCAATCTTATGTTTACTTTGTACACATTCAGTATGACGCTACTTATTGGTTTATCTAGTGAAGACGGGAAAAATAATCTCCCACCTCCCTTTATGGTTTGGTGCGGCTTGACCTCTTGTTTTAACTAACTAGTTGTATGGTATTGTGTACACAAAGCTGAGCTAGGTGGTGACGCTGTGCGAGAGATGGGGACACTCCTGAAGGTTAAGGGGGTGCTTTGCCACCACTGGGACTATAAATACCTCCTCACATAGTTTGGGCACGATCATCATAAGACTGTACACGATAAAAATTATAGATGTACACCTTGGCTATATAACACTGGCAGGTGACTACACACTTGAGTTTATCTTCTGTTAATGTAGACAGTAGTGAACAGCTTCCGCGTCCTGTCGTAACATTGTTACTTTGTTTCAGGTTTAATATGATCATCGATCTTCCTGCAGGACAATTTCTTAAGAGTTATTCGCCAGCGTAATATTTAATGGTTACAACAGTCCTTTGTGGACTGTTATAACCGTACCATCTGACGTACCGTAATGTCAGAATAATGTTTCTCCAGGACTCCAAAAATTAACTTCTTCGCAATTTGACAATATTACTTTACTCGAGGGGCACTGCTGTCGGCTGGATAAAACCTGAGCTCCACCCAGTTGTGAATGAGTCCCTAATTCGATAGTTAAGAATATAAGAATGGAGGAAACTGCAGCGGGCCTATTGGACCATAATGGGCAGTCCCGTTTACACCCAACCCCTATTGCTCATGTAAGCATCCAACCTATGTTTGAAGCTATCCAGCGTATTCGAGTTAATGATGATATTTGGTAACTTGTTCCATTCATCCACTACTGTTTCCAAACCAGTGTTTACCTATTTCACGCCTAAATCTAAATTTGTCTAATTTAAAACCATTGTTACGAGTTCGCTCCTGGTTGGATAGTTTGAGTACCTTTGTAATGTCCCCTTTATTTAGCCCTGCCTTCCACTTATACACCTCTATCAAGTCGCCCCTCGCTCTACGTGTCTCGAGGCGGTCGAGTGCATTGTCGGTCACGTAGTCTGTGTACAGAATGCATTCTCCGGGTTTTGTGTTGAGGAAATGGGGTTTAAAATGAACGTTCTTTCATGCATGGTCAGATTAAAGTTGTTATCGTATGATGATATATTGAGTACAGTAAGTCTTTCCAAGTCTTAAAAACTAAGATTGGTCAACAGGTATATGTAAATAAATTCCCAAGTGCGTTTTATTTACAGTATATTTATTGGTGTAATAAAAGTTTGAAGTTTCCTGTACCTGCGTAGTAAATTCACGGTGCTACAACAGTATGCGGTCTACCGAGCTGGTGCTGCTATATGATGTCACACTCCACATCACCGAACACCAACAGTACAAATTATACTTCTTCATTTGATGGTTTTCTATATTTCACCTCCTGATACTATGAAGGAAAGGTGAGGTCTGAAGGTGGTGCTGTCGTGGCTAACCTGTTCGCCTGTGTTACAAGTCCTCCTCCCCAGCTAACCAAGGTCCCCCCCCCTCCAGCCTACCTCACGTGGCGCGGCCGACGGCAGGAACCACCTAGCCTCACCCCTGCCCTCCCCTTACCACCCCCACCTCATCTGTGTTTCTCCTCTTCCCTCCCCTCTATTTCCCTGGATACCTATCTCTACAAAAAAATATATACATAAAAAAATAATAAAAAATAAATTACCTGACAGACTGTGCCTCCCCTCCCCACTCCTCAGTCTACACAACAGCGATCTCCCATACTACCTAACCTCCCCAACACCACCAACACACTCCCTACACCACACCACCAACACACTCCCCCACACACGCCACCAACACACCCCTACACACGCCACCAACACACACCTCCTACACACACGCCACCAACACACCTCCCTACACACGCCACCAACACACACTCCCTACACACACGCCACCAACACACCTCCACACACGCCACCAACACACACTCCTACACGCCACCACCACACACTCCCCTACACACACGCCACCAACACACCTCCCTACACACACGCCACCAACACACACTCCTACACACACGCCACCAACACACACTCCCTACACACGCCACCAACACACCTCCCCACACACGCCACCTCCTACACGCCACCAACACACCTCCCACACACGCCACCAACACACACTCCCTACACACACGCCACCCAACACACTCCTACACACGCCACCAACACACACTCCCTACACACACATACCAACACACACTCCCTACACACACGCCACCCACACACAACACACACTCCTACACACGCCACCAACACACTCCCTACACACACGCCACCAACACACCTCCTACACACACACGCCACCAACACACACTCCTACACACACGCCACCAACACACTCCCCTACACACACGCCCCAACACACACACGCCACCAACACACACTCCCTACACACACGCCACCAACACACACTCCTACACACACGCCACCAACACACACTCCTACACACGCCACCAACACACACTCCCTACACACACGCCACCAACACACACTCCTACACACGCACCAACACACACTCCCTACACACACGCACCAACACACTCCTACACACACGCCACCAACACACCTCCCTGCACACACACACCAACACACACTCCTACACACACGCCACCAACACACCTCCCTACACACGCCACCACACACACTCCCTACACACGCCCAACACACTCCTACACACACCACCAACACACACACCCTACACGCCACCAACACACACTCCCCACACGCCACCAACACACACACTCCCCTACACACACGCCACCAACACACCTCTACACACCCTGCACACACCCCACACACCCACCCTCCCACACGCCACCAACACACTCCCTACACACATACCAACACACTCCCTACACACGCCACCAACACACACCCTACACACAACACCAACACACTCCCTACACAACCACTCACACAAACGCACCCCACACACGCACCAACACATCCTCACACACGCCACCCCACCACATGCCACCACACCACCGCCACCAACACACACTCCTACACACGCCACCAACACACCCTGCACCCCCACACTCCCTACCCCACACACGCCACCAACACCTCCCCCACACACACGCCACCAACACACACCTCCGCCACCCACCCACACCACACGCCACCACACACACCCCACCACACGCCACCCACACACCCCCTACACGCCAGCCCATCCACCCCCACACACCTCTGCACCCACCAACACACACCCTGCGCCACCAACACACACTCCACTACACACGCCACCAACACACTCCACCCACCAACACTGCACGCCCAACACCCTCCCCTACACGCCACCAACCACACTCCCACACACGCCACCAACCTCCTACACACACGCCACCAACACACACTCCCTACACACCACCAACCTCCTACACACACCGCCAACCACCACACTCCCCTACACGCACACCAACACACTCTCACGCACGCCAACACACCCCACACACCCACCACACACACTCCTGCACGCCACCAACACACTCCCTGCACCACCAACACATCTACACGCCCCAACACACACGCCACCACACACGCCACCAGCACACTCCTCACACGCCACCAACCACACTCCTCACACACACGCCACCATGCCTCCTACACGCCACCAACCTCCCTACACACACGCCACCAACCCCTCCTCACCACACGCCACCAGTACCTCTCCCACACACGCCACCCAACACACACTCTCACGCCCCCACACACATCCCTACACACCCACCACACACACCACACACACGCCCACCACACACACCACACACACTCCGCACCACCCACCACCACCACGCCACCAACACACACTCTCACGCCACCAACCCTCACACGCCACCACACACATCTCTACACCCCCAACCTCCCACACACCACACACACTCACACCCCCCCACGCACACCCACACACACACCCCACACCACCCCTACACACCCCACACACACACTCCATACCACCCCCACACACACACTCACCCCCCACACACACTCACCCCCACCACACACTCACACACCCCCACACACACTCACGCCCCCCACACACACTCCTACACACCCCAACACACTCCTCACACCCCCAACCTCCTCTCCCCCCCAACACACATCTCTCACCCCCACCAACACCCCACCAACCTCTCTCCCCCAACACACATCACACCCCCCCCACACCTCCTCCTCAACACACTCCTCCCCCCCACCTCCTCACACCCCCCCACACACATCTCACCTTACCCCCCACACACATCTCACACCCCCCCCACACACTCACTCCCATACACACACACACCTCCTTCACCCCCCCCACACACCTCCTTCCACCCCCCCACACTCCTCACACACCCCCACACCTCCTTCACCCCCACACACTCGCTACCCTCCCATCGCTACCCACAAAATACCATTTGATTTTTATTATAGATAATTATAAGATTAATATAATTTCGAGATAGTGTTTGTATTGTGCGAGAAGATAAAACTTGGTAAATGTCAAATGAAAGTTCCGAGGGAAATTATATAGTCATAGGTTTGTTATGGTGGTGTTGGTATATATTTGTGTCTTCTGGCTGTTAGTGTGAGTATTTTTGAGTGTTTAGGCATAAAGGTTGTAGACGTTATGGGATCTGTGAATGTTAGTATTGTCATTAATTGGTGAAAGTCACGGGAGTTGTGATGTTGAAATAATGGAGTCACAGGGTGTAAAATGGTACTGTTCTAACGTGTGTTGTGTTTTGGTCTCCACAGCTTTGTGACACCGACGACTTCATCCATTACAGCAGCGCACCACGTCTCAAGAGCAGTCACCCTTCCAGGGGGTTCAACACCGTGGTAACAGCTACAAAAACAGCAGTAGTAGCACAAACAGCAGCAGCAGGCCCGTCAAACCGCAAGTTTCATCAAGAATGGCTCCAGATCCCCGTGGACAAGAGGAATCCGGGCCGGTGGGATCCATTATCGCTGGCCACAGGATCTCCCTCAACGTCCACTACGACAATGATGAGCCACAGCCTGGTGAGTATTTTCAGATACCCTTTTTGTGCCTATTTTACATATTTATCTTTACGTTTGTTGCTGCCATGGATCAGGTCCATTTTATTTCACTAGTTATATATGCCAAGCCCGTGTCCAGAGAAACCTGTTTATATAGCTAACGGCATATTCGACCTACGCAATAGCCCTCTACCAACACCCTCCTAACTCGGCCTGTTTTTGTTGCAGTATAAACTCGACAGGCCTCGAGCGTCCAAAGTGTGTTGCTTACGTACACTGGTCATGTCAGTGTCTCTTGCAAAAAATTATTGGACCCTGACTCACTTATAATTTGTAACTATGCCTCTTTCGCCAAACGCTATTTTTTTGTCTTCAGTTATTTTATTTAACTTTTTCTCAATTGTAATGGAAATATTCACGTGAACTTAACTCACGCGAACAGAAATCTGCCATATAAAATATTTCAGCCCAGATATATTACATAAAGCATAGTAGTGAGAAGTGTTACGACACTTTTAATGGTTGAGTTAAGTTCAGAGTGTTCATTAAATTTTTTTTCAACTAGAATTTACAACTCTACAACAGCAATGTCTTAAATGTATTCTGTCCTTCATAAACTCGCCTGAATCGTCTAGAATATGAGATACAAGGCCATGGGTTTGTTCTAGCCTTGACTAAACGTCCTTAAGCGATTCCATAAAATATTAGTCCTGTATTAAATTAATCGAATCACGCTTTAAACTTTAAGTAGCCTTGTGGTATTAATTTAATCCCTACTTTGTACAAGGTTCGATAACATGATCAACGTATCGTTACCCTAAATCTTTTATAAACTTTATTGAATCATGTTTTTGGAGAGGATTATAAAACAAATTCTGTTAGGTGTTTATAAAAGCTTATTGCTGAAAAATAGTACATAAGGTGTAACAGTGTACCATTCACCAGTTGGCCAAAGGATCGCTTGTTCGATCACGGGGCAATCATAGTTTACTCGGCTGTACACTAGTACTGTACTGTACTTTACATTTAGGGAACGAATGCGGTCGTGTGAAATGACCTCCTTAGTGTTTAGTATATAGTGTCCCGTATTTTACTTTGTTCCTAACGGGCAGTCGTGTCAAAGGGAACTACTTCACTTGCAAGTGTCAGTAGGCCCAGGTAATAAGTTTATGTACACCTTGTGTTAATTATATTACTCGGAATTACCATGAAGCTACACCACAGTTGTCTTAGGTAAGTGTTATGATTGTCTAACCCTTGTACATAACCAGCTCGGGACAAATGTTAGAAGGGCATGATCCATGTAATTATAAACACCAGTTTGTATCCTTACCAGTCAAGGCGGTGGGCGGGGAGGTAACACCGTGGAGATGGTGGCGAGTACTGGTGCGCTCCCCCAGGACACCCCAGACAGGTCCTCCACCAACAGCAAGTCCGCCCTCCTAGATGATCACCACAGAGACTCGTCAAAGAAAGCCCCTGCTGACCTGGAGGAGGGACAGAAGATAACCCACGTTGACAGTGTAATTATGGATGAGGTGAGTACAGTACTGTATTACTCGACTTCGGAAGAAAGGTTATAAAAGCTATTGGTGGAATGTGTATGTACCCTTTGGAACTAGTGACGAAATTCCACGGGCGTTCTTTTTTCTTGCTTGTACGGTAAATACATACAGTAGTATAGTTGATATTGCTTATTTGTAACCTGAAGACTAACCACCTCCCACTAACCAAACCATCCAGGTAGCGTTAGGGTGATTAACCAGATGAAATAAACTAGAGGCTAATCTTCATACGATGAAGGTATCTGCGTTTTCGTTGGATTAAAATGTTTATTTTTGTGTGATTCTAGTTTGGAGACTCTTAAGTCCAGACGATAGTCTTTAGGGAGATACGAGTAGCAATAAACCGTACTGCGTGCACACTCCTATACAGAGTGTAAGTATATACGCCTGTATATTAATTGTTTGCCATTCTAGTATAACTTCCTCCACATCACTTCTTGTCACACTGGTGGAACCACCACTTCCGGTAGATATGGCTATTACTAGCAGCGTCGGGTGGTGGGAGGAGTAAATGTTTTGGAGGGAGAGAGAGAGAGGCTCGGCTCGGCTACATGGAAGTGTCCTGGGAGTTTCTAGGTGTTATTAGTACTGTATGTGGAGGAGATGTGTTGGGAGGGGGGAATCGTTGCGATGTTCAAAAGTGACTGCCTGTTGCACTGAACCCCAGTGGTGGTATTCCGGAAAATTGGTAGGGAGAAGCGATCGGGTCGAAGCAACAGATGCCATGCGCCGCTGGAATAGACGCGGGTTTGTTTGCCAGTGGGGCTTTAACGACACACAACATCTTGGGATTATTGTGCACTGTCTGCCGGATACGAAGTGAACAAGACCAAAACATTGTCAGCTCCTCAGGATCATGGGGGTTCAGTGCGTTACGGTAAAGGAGAGACTTGTTTTATAGCCTGTGAGTTGTTGGTGGTGTGGGCTAGTTAACTCTTTGAGGACCATAGTTGAAACTTTCGCTCTTTGGGGACGATTGTTAAATCTTTCGCTGGCAGGCGATGGTTAAAGCTCTCATTATTTGAGGACTATATGCTATATTTTAAACGGTGGTTTGAATTAAAACGTTTTGTTGGTAGGTATCCCATCTTCAGAAATAAGATGGTAATGCTCTTCTTATGTTGATGGTGGTTTAAGTGAGGTGTGCTCTGTAGCTGCTTGCCTCGATTTCGAATGAATGGAAGGATATGGAGCGCACCATTAGACATGAAGAGTCATTTGCCAGTGGATAAGTTAAACCATTAGGTGTCCACCCTTCCCCAGTCGTAGTATAATACCTTACGTGCTTACTGTGGTGTAAAATAAGCAGTGAGGAAATGGTAGCTGGTAGGTTGGTTCAGGAGCCGAAGTCTATATCATTACACCCCCAACCAGGCGCTTCCTCCAGTCGTGCTTCAGCAGTTAAGACATGACCACTAGGAGCAAAAACCTAAGTGATATGTGAATGCAGTGTTGAGAGAATAAAAGATCTTCCAAAGCTTCGAAATAAAAGTAGTTAAAGTATTGAGGACGAGTGTTGCTATTTTTACAATTTGTTAAAGAAAGGTTCCCATACGAAATAAGACTGGAACGTCTTTCATGGCCTATCCTTGGTTAGATCGACTGACTCGACCATAATTTGTTCAAATTCACTTTTATGTACATGTTGAATCTGTTGCCTTCTATAAAAATTTTACTGATTATAGTATTCAATTTTTAAATGTTCCCTTAAAATCACTTAATATTGTATAATGGGACTGGCGTCTGTTTTGACGAAAAATTAAAATTTTCAGTCACTCCACTTACTGTCTGAACGGTTTATTAACAACCTTCACATTTTTGTTTTTGTGAACTTGATGCCGCATTGAGTGTTGTGTGGGGTGGGGTGGTGTTTGTATGCCTGGTAACGGCAGCGTTTGAATAAGGGGGAGGATTTCTTGTTCAGTTGTTCATATTTACAGCTGTGTAATTTACTCGAGAGAGGTGGGCGGTTTGTGTTAACGCATGTGGAGCATAACCGTCACGAGGTGGGCGTAACAGCAGGTGAGAATGTGGACGTGTCTGACCCCCTCACCACCAGGCGACAGCTGCACCCCAAGATCACTTCCCTCCACGCCAATTTTCACCCCCCTCCCTTATCTCTTCAGTATACGCCTTTAAAATAATAATTATAAGTAATTTGGGAACGGAAATGGTTCCTGTAGATAAAAGCTGTCGTTTGTGGGTTGCAAGATTAAATCACCGTGCATAGAACATGCTGATCTCTTGTTATTCAGATAGTTACTTTTCACTTTTATCCTCTTCGCTTGGGGCGGACAGGATTGAAATAATTTGCACCCCATGGACAGTGTTGCTGTAGCGAGAGATGTGTTTAACTACCAAAATGGACAATGGGAATTAAGGTTTTTGTGGTGAACGAATCTAACCCGTTTAACGTGGGGAACGAGGTTAGCTTAAATAAATAAGTAGATAAGAGTGGTGTGTCAAGGAGCCCCCACTGGTGCTGGGTGAGGACCGTGAGGTTACATAGCTATTCACCCAGGTTCCAGAGAGGCCAAGGTGAGGTAGTGTCACCTGATACTGTATACTGAACTAGTTCACAGTCGATCGGCGCCACATACTATTGATGGGATACTGGGACTCGAGGACTATCCCCATACTATGTGGACATAATGCGGAAGTTGTATTTTCAAAGACTTGTGTAGCATATTTGTACATCCTTATTTATCTGAACAGCTGGCAGTAAGATGACGTATTTTGTGTTTGCGTTGTATTTATTCCGACAAAGGAAATGCAACTGTCGTTTGTGTTAATGTAAGGAATTGTTCCAGAATTAGCTATTATAAATTATTTTGAACCAGTGGAAGAAAACAGCGGCGTCGACTTAACAACTTTGATTAGTTTGAAATACAAGTATAAACGAAAATTCCGCAGGGCATTATCTGAATCGATAACACAGGTACATAGAGCCAGTGTCTCGGTTTGCCATATTCTTTGCAATCTCGTGTTGGTGAAATGTATTATTTATATGCCTTGCCAGAGAGCTGAATGCCAACACAAGACACGAGAATACTTAACCACAGCATAACAGACCACCGGTACAGGGGAAACCCCAGAAGGTTAGGCTGTTTAAGATAGTAGCCCTTGTTTTGTCTTGACCACCTTGTGATTTGCCACTTGTAAATCTTGATCTGAATCCTGAATTGGAACACAGGTTGTTATTTTACCGAATGTTTGTGGTGTGACAGTAAATTAAATTAGTGACAACAGCTATTGAAGGGTTAAAGATTTCTTAAGTATTGTGAACTATTCTCAATCCACTGGCTTGTTAGGTGTGTCCTACTTCTCCCTTTCTTTCAACCAGATCTTGAAACCGATAAAAAGTTTTAAATACTACCATCTGTTCAACGGCTCGCCCTCCCGGTACACCTGACATTGTAAAAGATAAAAATAATCACTCCTAGTATACAAGCAACAAGCTTTTCAGACGCATAATAATCTGTTAAAGGCATTCATGTCCCCCCATTGTCTCTGCCCTCCCTCCACTTGTCTCACCTCCCCCACTTGTCTCTACCCCTCCCCCCCCACTTGTCTCTACCCCTCCCCCCCACTTGTCTCTACCTCCCCCCCACTTGTCTCTACCCCCTCCCCCCACTTGTCTCTACCCCTTCCCCCCACTTGTCTCTACCCCCTTCCCCCCCCACTTGTCTCTATCCCCTTCCCCCCCCACTTGTCTCTACCCCTTCCTCCCCTTGTCTCTACCCCTTCCCCCCTTGTCTCTCCCCTTCCCCCTTGTCTCTACCCCTTCCCCCCCTTGTCTCTGCCCCCTTCCCCCACTTGTCTCCTACCCCTTCCCCCCACTTGTCTCTGCCCCTTCCCCCCACTTGTCTCTGCCTTCCCCCCCACTTGTCTCCTTGCCCCCCTTGTCTCTCCCCCCACTTGTCTCTTCCCTTCCCCCACTTCTCTTTCCCTCACTTGTCTCTGCCTTTCCCCCCCACTTGTCTCTTCCTTCCCCCCCCCCACTTGTCTCTATCCTTCCACGTCTCTCCCTTCCCCCCTTGTCTCTGCCCCCTTCCCCCCCCTTGTCTCTGCCCCTTCCCCCACTTGTCTCTACCCCTTCCCCCCCTTGTCTCTCCTTCCCCCCCCCACTTGTCTCTGCCCCCTCCACTTGTCTCTTCCCCCCCCACTTGTCTCTGCCTTTCCCCCCACTTGTCTCTACCCTTTACTTGTCTCTACCTTCCCCCCCACTTGTCTTGCCTTTCCCCCCCCCCACTTGTCTCTACCCCTTTCCCCCCCACTTGTCTCTACCCCTTTCCCCCCCCACTTGTCTCTACCCTTCCCCCCCTTGTCTCTGCCCTTTCCCCCCCCACTTGTCTCTGCCCCTCCCCCCCCCCCACTTGTCTCTGTCCTTCCCCCATGTCTCTGTCTTTCCCCCCCCACTTGTCTCTACCCTTTCCCCTGTCTCTGCCCTTTCCCCCCCCACTTGTCTCTACCCTTTCCCCCCCCCTTGTCTCTACCCCTTTCCCCCCCCTTGTCTCTGCCCTTTCCCCCACTTGTCTCTACCCTTCCCCCCCACTTGTCTCTACCCCTTTTCCCCCCTTGTCTCTACCCTTTCCCCCATGTCTCTACTTGCCCCCCCACTTGTCTCTACCCTTCCCCCACTTGTCTCTACCCCTTTCCCCCTTGTCTCCTCCCCCCCACTTGTCTCCTGCCCTTTCCCCCACCTGTCTCTGCCCTTCCCCCCCACTTGTCTCTCCCCTTCCCCCCCACTTGTACCCCTTCCCCCCCCACTTGTCTCTGCCCCTTCCCCCCACTTGTCTCTGCCCCCCTTCCCCCCCTTGTCTCTACCCCTTCCCCCCCTTGTCTCTGCCCTTCCCCCCTTCTCTGCCCCTTCCCCACTTGTCTCTGCCCCTTCCCCCCCCTTGTCTCTACCCTTCCCCCCCTTGTCTCTACCCTTCCCCCCTCCTTGTCTCTGCCTTCCCCCCCTTGTCTCT